ACTTGTTTGTCTATATATATATATATATATATATATATATATATATAAAAGTCTCTGTGTAGATGTGAAGTAATGCAATAAGTTGTGTGGTACTTTGTTGCGGGGATTTTATTCTTCTTCTCCTTCTTCCTTCTAAACTAATGTGATATCAACAAGTGTGTAAATAAACCACACTCACTCACTCACTCCCCGCCTGCACTGCACACACGCAGAGCGCGACTTATCACTACTGTCTCACGTCTTGATAGGCTGCGTTCTGCACTCCACCCGTGAAAATAGGGGAAAACAGAATAAATAACAATAATGTTAAGAGAGAAGAGAAGAGAGAAGAAGAAAAAGAAAAAGAAAGATGTATACAAAATCCAAAACTTCAAATAGATTTATACACAGTGTGAATATATATATATAAAGTGGATTTACTGTTGTTTTTCAAGCATTGCAAAAAGAATTACTTGAGATTTCTACACAATAGAAATAGACCAAAGGGTTGGGACCGCACTCCCCTAGTCCAAACACAAGCAATCACACAGAAAAATAAAAACGAAAAAAAAAAAAATTGAGCATTCAAACAACAAAAAAAAAGCAGCAAAAATAGTAACAAATTCTTGTATGCAATTACGCTTTAATTTCAATGCGACTCCACTCACCTCCTTCTTTTTACGAAAAATAAGAGGAAAAACCAAAAAAAAGAAAAAGAGCACACACCCACACATAGAAACATATACAAAGATGCATACCAGTATATATATATATATATATATACGTACATACCTTCAAGCAAATTTCTTAAAATTTTTTGTTTTCTTTCTTTTTTTTTCCTCCTCTTTTACATCCCCTTTTCTCTGCTGTAATTCTTTTTTTTTTTTTTTTGCATATCTGTAAATGAAAATAATGATTCAACACGTTGTCAATGTTCACATCTCAAAACATTAATTACACTTCCGTTGCAATTTCCTCATTTGGTGCTGTTGGTGCCCATATACGATAACGTAATTCCACATCCTTTGGTGTATACACCACCACTGGTAGTTTACTGTTGTATCGAATCATTGGTTGATCACTTAAAGGCACAAATTGTGATACCGGTGGAGTATCGGTTAATGGAGCCATTAGAGTAGTTGCCATTACACCCGCCTTTACTACATAATAGGGATATCCCCAACCATCAATGGTCATTTCTTTTACTTCGCCAGAGATAAACTGTAGATTGACCCCATCTACCATTTCCACACGGCCTGGGATGAGTTGTAGACGATATTGTGAGGATTCTTCTCTACCATGATCTTCAAGAAAGATAACATAACGTCGTTGATCGGGTGTGGGTTTGGGATATGGAGCTTTATAGTCTTCCAATGACTTTTTACTTTTACTGCTCGTATTAGCAGAAGAAGAAGATGGTCCGTGAGACATATTTTGTGTGTGTATGTGTGTGTGTTTTTTTTTTTTTTACCAAATAATAATATAATGGATCTCTTTGTGGTTTTAGTGAGGAGGAGAGAGATGGAGAGAAAGAAAGGAGAGAGATCCGCAGGAGGTAGTAAAAGCCGTAATCACTGAGAGAAAAGAAATATATACATAAATAGATAGATAAATAAATAGATAGATAGAGGGAGTCGCTATTACTTAACCCAGAATATGAATAAGAAAAGCATCCCTTGCAAATGCTGTAAATGTAAAGTAGATAAAAAGAAAAGAAAAGAAATGAAAAAAGAGAGTGAGAACGACAAGAAACATCATTATCATTATCACCATAAAGAAAAGAAAAAAGAAAGAAAAAAAAAACAGAATGGTCTGTGTATATGATTTTCTCCCCATCCCTCATCCTCCTCTTCCCATAAGAAAAAAAAGATAAGGGAAAAGAGAAGAAAAGAAAAGAAAACTATTTATTATCCTCCTCTAGTTTATTATTTCTTCTCTGGTATTATTTAAAGTGAACTACACAACACAACACAACGTAGGATAATCCCAATATCACTTCCTTCCACCAATTAGGATTCATTTTCCATACTTACCAAAACAAGGAGATGCACACACAAAGAAAGAAAAAGAGACAGAGAGAGACTTTAACTGCGAGACGTATTACCAGGCAAGGTATACGAAGGATAAGAGTATAATACTTTGTTTTTTTTTTTCCTTTTTTCTATTGTGAAGAAGAGAAACAAACAAACGAACAAACAAACAAAAAAAAAAAAATAGCAATAATAGTAATCATAATATTAACTAATAACAATAACACTGAGTGAGCATAAAAACAATGAGACAAGACATGTTCTGCAATAACAACACTTCACCCCTCTTTTTTCTTTTTTAATTATTATCTATTCTATCATTTCCAACCCCCTCCCACTTTCTCTCTTTCCATATATATATATATATATATATATCCAATTCTTTAGTGTGTAGTCAATATGTCTTCCCATCATCCTTCTCCTTCTTCTCCTACTCCTCTTCTGTGGCTTCTTCCCCTTGGGTGGTAAAAGACCCAAACTGTTCATTCCACTCCACATATCGTGTCACCTCTGAAACTCCAACACTTGGCCGAATACGTTTTAATGCCTGCATAAAGTCTTTTCGTTGAATAGGCCGCAAATCACTTAACGTAACATCTGTGAGTCGCATGGTTACTTCTCGCAGTGGCCCCATGGCGGCTTCTCGACAGACTTGCTTAAGATCCGCACCGGAATACCCTTCCGTTACGGCCGCAATCTCTGCAATCTCATCTTCGTTAAGTGCATGAACTATGTTTACAACTCCCTTTACTTCTTCTTCCCCATTCTCTGAACGTTGTAATTGTGTCTGTGTCTGTTGTTGTTGTTGTTGTTGTTCTTCCATTGTGTGTAGAAGCCTCTTCACAAGTTCCACTCGAGCGGCATTATCAGGAAGAGGAATATACAATCGTTTCTCCATACGTCGACGTGCGGCTTCATCTAATTCATCTGGTCGATTAGTGGCTCCAATCAGTAAAACACGATCTCCACGATCAGTGGCCACTCCATCTAATTGAACCAGAAACTCTGTCTTCACTCGACGTACAGAATCCATTTCCCCTTCACCACGCATAGAAAGAAGAGAATCAATTTCATCAATAAAAATAACACTTGGTTGTTTAACTGTAGCTACAGCAAACATACACCGTACTAATTTCTCACCATCTCCCATCCATTTAGACATGAGAGAAGAAGCACTAATATTTAAAAATGTACACTGTGCACGATTTGCAATTGCACGGGCAATCATCGTCTTCCCTGTACCAGGAGGTCCAAACAATAATAAACCACGTGGAGGATCTCGTAAACCAACAAATAAATCCGGTCGTCTTAACGGCCAAACAATTGCCTCTTCCACACTTCGCTTGGCATGTTCAAGTCCGGCAATATCATCCCAACCAACATTAGCCGCACCGGCTCCATGTTCCAATATCTCCATTGCCACTTGTGTTACTAATTTTGGATCCAGTGGGAGTAAAATGGGCGGTACAGATCCATCAGGGAGAAGTAGAGATGCCGGGTAATCTCCCCGTTCACTATCACTATCATCACATCCTCCTCCTCCTTTACTGTTATTATGATTATTATTATGATTATGATTATGATTATTATTATTATTATTACCACGTGCCCCTCGTACAGGATCATGAGCATTCTTTGGGTTTCTGCTAATAGAACTCAAAACTTCATTCACGGGAACCGCATTAGATACTGTCGTTACTGTACTATTACTATTATTATTAATATTAGTAATTCCATTTGGACCATCACCACTTCTCTGTGGAGGAGGTGATAATTGTTGTCGTTGTTGAAAAGGCGGTGTGAATCCCGATCGACGTAAACCCAAAGCGGGTGTTCGTCTTTGTAGTGAAAGACCAGATGGCATAGACCGTCCAGCCTTTACATCTGCCACTAATTGTTCTCCTGCAGTGATGAATCCACCGCTGGGATTTCCTGCAGCAGCAGAAGTATTAGTATTATTATTATTAGTATTATTAGATGATTTACTACTTTCCACATCTCCTTTACCTCCTTTTCTATTATTCCCTATTGAAGGATTCCAACTTCGATTTTCTTTAATCTTTATATCATGTGGATTCTCTTCAATAGCAGGAGTTTCAGATGAATCTGTTGTAGTAGTCCATTCTCCAGTCCATTGTTGTTGTTGTTGTTGTTGTTGTTGTTGTGTACGTTTAATAGTAAAAGAGGATGAATTCATTGTTAACGGTGTGGATGTATTTGTATGGCCCACAACAGGTGTATTGGATGAATGTCTCAATATACTATTTAAATGACTAGAGGTTGAAGAAGTTGAGGGTTGCATTAAACAAAGTCTTCCACGACTATCAACGTTAAGTGTCATTTGAGACTTTGGATGGGATGAAACACTACCTCCATATAGAGGGATATCAGAGAATTGTTGTTGTTGTTGTTGTTGTTGTTGTTTCTGTTTTGGTTTTCTCTGTTCATATTCTATTTGTTCTTGTTGTTGTTGTTGATTATTATTATTATGATGTTGAGAGAGAGTCCCTGTTGTTTCCACTATATCTGATCGCGTATTCTGTTGTGGATGGAAAACTCTTCCATCAATCTTTACAGCTAATGCAAATGGTCGTTTATGTACTCTTCCTCCCTCATTCTTATTTGTATTTATTTCCCCTTCATCATCCCTCACGCGTGAACGTTTACTTCGCATCTCTCCTTGTGAAGATGGCAAACATGGACTAGAAATAATTTCAGACTGTGATGCTATTTCATTCCTCTGTGTAGATGGAGAAATTAATAACGCCCGCAATGCTGGTGAACTTTGCTGTAGAGATCGAATGGTTTCTTGCATATTTACTACTCCTCGATATACTTTTCTTCGTCCTTCTTCTTCTTCTTCTTTCTCTTCTTCTCTTTGTGATGATGATGATAATAATAATAAAGATGTTGATGATGATGAGGTTACTACTGTATGGACTTTCTTAGCATGGAGTTTAATATCATTTAATGTAGACATAGTTGCCCCAATGGCCATTGTACGATTCATCCACAACAACTGAGCGATATCTTCTTCACTACTCATCAATACATCACTCTTTCCATCTATTACGTCTTCTTTTTCTTTTTCTTGTTTGCGGGATTGCCAACTACGCATAGACTCACAGGTGATCGCCTGCAAGTGTCTCTGTAAAGTCTGTGGAATGCCATCACGTCCATTATTATTATTATTATTATTATTATTATTATTATTATTATTATTATTACTTTTTACATTGCAGTGTACATCTGCTGTTTGTTGTTGTTGTTGTTGTTCTTTCTCTTTCAGACGTTCTTCATGCAATCGTGCCAATTGAGATTCACTGGAGGCCATCGCCGCAAATAACGCCAATCGCAATTGCCGCATCGTCGGCACATCTTCTTTTCCTCTCTTCACAGTTGTTGTTGTTGTTGTGGTTCTGTCTTCTCGGCTCTGCTCATCATGGATACTACGTAGAGTAGCAAACATAACCTACAATAATAGTGATAATAACAATATTAATAGTGATAATAATAATATTAATAGTGATAATAATAATATTAATA